CGGCGGTGGTGGGGCAGGTCCCTCGCGGCCTGGCAGAGCCAAGGGGAAGGATATTTTGCTGAGCTAATGTCGGAATTGTGGCGCGTAACGGTGCGCTATTGAAATAACCTTTTGTCCTCTGCTAACAAAGCCATCCGAGTCACTTGCAGAACAAAAAACCCGCGTGGTTTTGCTTCCGTCGGGGATCCTAAGGTGTAGGTGAGGCTTTTACCGGCGCGTTGCTGTGGCCCCTGGCCATCGTGCTGCCCCTGGTAAGGGCCAGCAGAGCTGCCGGAGCTGCTGAATGAACCCAAATCTCCGCTCAGCACTGGTGCCGGTACTGGCGATAGCGGGGATGAACGGGACGAGCCGGGGACGATGGTGGCAAAACATCGCAGCACCTCCTTCTGTCTAAATACCATCCGCGATGTTTTCCTAAGGCTTTTGTCTCTCTTCCAGTTTCACGCTTCCCTGCGCTCCATTCCCCATTCGGACGCTTGCTGGGCGTCCTCCCCGCTCCGCCGGGCTGGGCAGGGACAGCCGGGCTCTGCCGAGGGGCTCCCGGTCCGGGCTCTGGTTTGTGCACCAGGAACCAGCCTGGGTGCCGGCAACGGGGGGTGTCCGAGCTGCCAGGCATCTCCGAGAATTGGGCACGAGGGTGCCTGGCTCTGCCGTGGTGCTCAGCCAGCCTCGTTAAAAGGGAAGCTTGCTTTAGTCCAATCAAATGTCTGCCGTGTATGGAAAATATTTTCTTTCCCCTAAACTCAATTTTTTTTTTTTTGAAATGTGTATTATAAAACACAAAGTTGGGCAAGTTGTTTTTAAAACAAATTTCTCAGGAAAAACACATAAGTTGTAAGCTGTTCTGCATTAGACACCAAAACCTGAAGCATTTGGCTTTGCTAACCAAAGCCTGATGCGGCTCGAAGCAGAATATGGCTGACACAGAAAATCTTGAGTGCAGCTGAACCCAACACGGAGCAAACCCCCACCGCCAGGCTCGGGGGAGGACAGGGGGCGATTTTCTTCCCTGCAAATCCTCGGTGTTGCACTAAAGGTGTGTGAGGACGGAGTGCTGGCCCCTCGGGGCGCAGGGCGCCCAGTTTTGGAGGAG